ACGCAGGAGGCCGGACTGCGCGGGCTGCGCGGGCGAACACGCCCCGGCGCTCCGGCCTGGGCAGGGGAGACAGACCCTAAGGACAGTCGAAGAAAAAACGGAGCTAGTCTCTCATACAGAAATCTAATTATCTTCAGGAAGAAACACCTTGCTCTCGCTGGCTTCTAACCCAGGACGTGCCTTTGCGACTTGTAAAATCGGTCTTACCAGAGACCGCGGCTTAGCAAATGTCACACTCCTTTTCTCACACGTCCCGACCGGAACTTGACGACTGGCCCGCGGAGAGCCCGAGTGAGAAAGCCCACATCGGCCCGGGGACCAGCCCAGTCACGGAGGCTGCGGGCCGGGTCCTCTCATCCACCCCGACCCCTGTTAGGAGAGCAACAGCGGGCGTAAACCCAGATGCTGCTTCAGGCGGTCCAGGCAGACCACGGCCTGGGCTTGGCGTGAAGCCACGGGCGTCGCTGGGCAGTACAGTCTGCCACCCAACGGCAAGCGCCGGAGTCTCTAGGAAGCCAGGGACAGAGCAGGGGGCAGCAGGGGCCCGAGGCAGCTGACTTTGGCTCAGCCGCCTTCTGCCACCTCAGGGCTGCCCACCTCTCCGGGACCCTGAAAAGAAGGAGAGGAGCATCGTCAGGGCTTCTGCCTCTCACCCCGACGTACCATCGTGCACCAAGGAGAAGGCAGCGTCTCCGCCGGCCAGCTCTCGTGAAAGCAGCCCACTGCGCTCCGCGAGGCCCGCCAGCTCCGCTTGGACGGAGCGCAGACGCGGGCGCGTCCCGCCAGGCGCCGGGGCCGCCGCGCCCTGTGAACGGCGCATCTGCGTCTCCTACCACAGCCACACCCGTGCCCGCTCTTGAAAGACACCAAGTCTTCTTGATGAAAGCGGGTGGCTCACGGACCTCGCCTCAGTCCAGCCGTCGATCAAGGTCACTGACAGGTCGCAACGCCAACTCAAACGCCCACCCGCCCACCCGCGTGCCTCAGACACCCAAGTCGACAAGCCTGCAGGCGCGCGCTTTCGCTCCTTCCCCTCCACGCAAGTAGTTTTTCTCCGCCTGTAGGAAAGCTAGCCTACGGCACGCTAGGGCCCCGGCAAGCGTTCACGTGGGCAAACATCTGAAGCAGCATGTGTACCCAGACACATGCACACAGCTGTTTCCAAACGGGTGGATGTGGGGTTGGTTGTACTTTGTTGAGAAACAGGGTCTCTCTCTGTTGCCCAGGCTGGAATACAGTGGCACGATCATAGCTCACTGCAGCCTCCAACTCCTGGCCTCAAGGGATCCTTCTGCCTCGGCCTCCTGAGACGCTGGGACTACAGGCACGTGGCCACCACACCTAATTCTAAAATTTTTTGTAGAGACAGAATCTCATTATGTTACCCAGGCTGGTCTCAAGCTCCTGGCCTCAAGAAATCCTCCTGCCTTGGCCTCCCAAAGTGCATGAGCCACCATGCTCGGCCTCCAAACTGTTTGATATCAGTATTTTATTTTATTTCTTTTGAGTTGGAGTCTCACTCTGTTGCCCAGCCTCGACCTGCTGGGCTCCGGTGATCCTTCCGCCTCAGCCTTCCAAGTACCCGGAACTACAGATGTGCACTACCACACCCAGCTGATTTTTTGATTTATTGTAGAGAGGAGGTCTCGCTGCCCAGGCGGGTCTCGAACCCACAGGCTCAGTCAATCCACTCACCTCAGCCTCCCAAAGGCACGGGATTACAGGCTGAGCCACCGAGCCCGGCTGATTTCAGTATTTTAAACTCATTTTAACCCTTTGCATTTGGAGACATCTCACGGATCACTTACCAGCAACTCCACCATACTTTGAAAAAAAAAAAACAGTGAAAAATGAATCATTTCATATTAAATAGTACAGTGTTGGGACCAATTATTTTATTGTAATGATATTTGGCTTATAATAGCATTTTGGACACTGAGGAGCTTATGACCAAAAAAAAATCAAAATTTGGTATATTATATTTTTCTAACATGAGGTAACATGTGAAACAGTCACCCACATGCACTGCAGGATTACTGACACACGCTGTGCAGTAGGAATCTGATGTCTTCCGCCTGGTGTTTTTCTATTTGAGCAGACAATGCAGCCTCGTTTTCTTCCTCTCACATTAACAATATTGTCCAGTCTTGTTTTCTGGAAACGATGTGGAAGGATGCATTTGCGATTCCTGAAAGCCACTCCTTAGCTGGTCCGTCATATCGCAGTAGGAATCCCATCTCTTTATTTGCTTTTTCGTACAATATGAATGGAAAACTTCAAGGAAATGTACATTTTTGAAACATCTGTGCTGGCTTAAGTTTGTTCTGTATAATCGCCAGCAATCCCTTTATGTCCCCTCTCAGGGGACACTGAGTGCAAAGGTTAACTGATTCGCCTGCCTATCTGAGCACATGGGTCCATTTTCTTCTGGGCTGGCAGGACAGCTTGGAGAGTCGTTCTTTTTGTTCTTCTGGCTGTTTTCTTTCTTTTAACAGTTAAACATCTCCATGGTCCCCACGTGGGGTCTCCTGTATTAGCATCTTCTGGATCCTCATTTCCATATTGTGCACCAGCACATCCTGGGCCCCACAGCCAACTCACCAGAGCATTTATTTTCAACGTGAAATAAGCAGTGACATCTGACAGCTGTCAGGCCCACGCAAACAAGGCTTGAGGTGGCGTCCAGTTTCAGCAGGAGTGGCTGTGCTCTACAGGACTTTTGATGACATCGTATCTTTGCCAGGCTAAGTCTGGGGGTGGCTGATGTGACAAAACGCAAGGGCCATGCAAAAGGAAATGCGGAAAGAGGTGACAGTGTCCAGGAGTCCTATGTGAGGAGAACACGAGGTCAGAAAAAGCCCCGGGCCACACTTCCTTCTGAAGTGCCCAAAACACATGCCCAGAAAGCAAAACAAACCGTACCAAGTTGCACAGTGAGCTGAAAGTCACTAAGAAAATGAGACAACACATGAAAGAAAAACTCAGTAATGAAGGCCAGGCACAGTGGCTCACGCCTGCAATCTCAGCACTTTGGGAGGCCAAGGTGGGAGGATTTCACAATCTTAGGAGTTTGAGAGCAGCCTGAGCAACATAGGGAGACCACGTCTCTATAAAAAAAACAAAAGAAAACAATATCCAGGTATGGTGGCATACGCCTATAGTCCCGGCTACTCAAGAGGCTGAGACAAGAGGATTGCCTGAGCCCAGGAGGTCGAGGCTGCAGTGAGCCATGACAGTGCCATAGCACTCTAGCGTGGGCAACAGGGTGAGACTCTGACAAAGAGAGAGAGAGAGAGAGAGAGAGAGAGAAAGTGAAAGAGAGAAAGAGAAAGACAGCGAAAGAGAGTGTAAGAGAAAGAGAGAAAAGAAAGAAAATGTAGAAATGAGGCACCAAAAAGAATTTGTAATACAAATTAAGGAGAAATGAGAAAAAAGATTTGAGAAAAAGTGGCAACACGGAGAGTGAGCAAAGACGATCCAAAGCATAAGAGGAGCCCTTGCAGGTGAACCCATGCGAGGGAGCAATAGAAATCAGAAAAGCCTCTAAAAACCAAGCAACACTTGAAAGCTAGGATGCTGAAAAAACCAAGTGCCTGCTGGAGAGCTTGGACCCAGAGCAGACAGCACCACACGCACCAGAGGAAATGAGGGCACCCGTGGGTCCCTAGAAAACATCAGGTAACTTGAAGGAAAAGCTCAGATTTGCACCCGACTTCAGCTGTGATGTTTTATGCTGGAAGAAAATTAAGTAACATATTTAAAATACACAACGAAAACAAGTGTGAGCCAAGGACTGTCTGCCCAGCAAGACGGGCTGCCTCCTTGACTCTCCCGAGGACCCCTCGAGCAGGGGTTAGCAATCCTGCACAGCCCTCAAGCTAAGAATGGTTTTTACATCTTTTAAAAAGTTGCTGAGCACGGTTGGGTGCGGTGGCTCTCACACCTGTAACCCCAACACTTTGGGAGGCCGAGACAGAAGGATTACTTGAACCCAGGAATTCGAGACCAGCCTGGGCAACACAGCAAGACCCAGTCTCTACAAAAAATTAGCCAGGTGTGGTGGCACAGGCCTATAGTCCCAGCTGATTGGGAGGCTGGGGCAGAAGGATCGCCTAAGCCCAGGAGATCGAGGCTGTGGTGAGCTGAGATCATGCCACTTTAGCCTGGGCAACAGAAGTGAGAGACTCTGACTTAAAAAAAAAAAATGTTGTTAAACATACACCCACAAATATGTGACACGGCCGTTTTGGGCCCACAAAGCCGAAATACGTACTATCCAGCTCCTTTCAGAAAAATGTTGCCGTCCTTGGAACCAGAGAACAAGCTTCAGACCAAAGTGAGCAGAGTGAGCACTAAACACAGAGCTACGTAGAACGTCAAGTCTAGATGAGGCCTCAAGACAGAGGACAGCATGTGACGGCCACATGGTCCAGCAGTGAACACTGGGTGCACCAAAACAGAGGGCGGGGCAGATGGAAAGCATACAAATTTAAAAGTGCATGCGCGCTTCCAGTGCTCACACTTAGTGGTAGCAGGATTGGGGTTGCCGTTCTGAGACTGCTGTGCATGAGAGGAATCAGATTCCATCATTCCCTGCCGTCTTTTCCTCCGGTCTGCTTTTGGGAATGCATGTAATAGGCTAATAGCCACAATTCTTAACATGCTTGTTACAAAGAAGAAACGAAAAGGAAACATTCTCGGGACCAGCTCACTTGGACCAGGAGCAGAGGATCGAGTCTGACCAGCCACCTCCGTGCCGTTTGGCCTCTGAGGGACTTCTGGAGGGTTTCCAAACTTAAACCGACCTACCCTCAGAGGACAAAGCTGATGAGGCGCAGCGGGAGGACGAAGAGCACGGGCAGCACGGCCACGTGCCAAGGCCTCGGGAGACTGAGTCTAGTCCCCGGCCACGACTGTCTGGCTGGGCCCAGCTCTCCCGACCAGTGACGCAGCTCTGAGAGGAAGGCCCAAGTGGCCACTGCTCTTCACGGTCAGGCGGACGCTGCGGCCAGGCCGGAACGGGGACGTCTTCCAATCGGTGTTCCCCTGATCTTCACACGCCACCTGTCGTCTTCGCTGGAGACCATCTTCCTAGCAAGACGACAGGGCTGTTTCCTTCGGAGTGCCTTTCATTCCCCTCACACTGAAGCTAGGACGGACGGTTCCCGTCAGGGGTGATGACCCGACTCGGGGCAGGACGAGCACCGAATTCCGCCTCTCGAGACGGCCGTCCGGGCACAGACTTTTCGCCTCGATCCACCCGGCACAGGCATCGTCAGGCCGAATGCTCAGTAGGAGACCAGGGAGGGGACGCGATTGGGAGTGCTGACTGCTGTCCCGCCTCTGACCCTTAGACCCTGCAGGGAACCCCAAGATAGTCCCCGAGATAAGCTGATGCCAAGTGCGAGGGCAGACATTTAATAACAACATGACTACGACGAGCGTCTGCAACGAAAGTGAAGACTGAAACTGGCCAACGGCCGCCTGGCACGTCACGAGGACGAAATGAGGACAGAGCTGCCGCCGGTGCCCAGAGATGCTCGCCACCCTCCTGCTTGGCCGAGGCCTCCCCTGTGCTGTGCCACCTTCACTGCCCACTCGGTCGCTTAATCCCTTCTCAGCCCACTCTCCCCGGCAGGGGGACCGTCGCTGGCAAGACTCTAATCTTCTTAATTTCCTCTGATCCTGCGGTCCCTGATAATCCCCCGGCGGTCTGTCAGTGCGTCTCATATTCTTACTGCCCTGTCTCTGCATGTGCGGAAGGGCCCCAAGTGCCAATGAAATCTGTGCTATTTTCTCAAGAAGCTGGTCAGGATTGGG